AGCTTTGGACCCACTTAAATTGCTTCTTATAGTTTATCAGTGCACTTTCTGGTATCTCCTTATTCTCCAAGATAGCTCATTTTCTAATTGTGCCAGGTATCCCTGCTCATTAGGACCTCTGAATGGTTTTTGGGAAGCAGTGCCTGGACTTGCATGTCCTAAGGACTTATTTCCTTTGTGGAATCTTCCAAGATGTGCACATGGATGATTCTGCGAAGTCCCAGACCAGATTAGTGGCTAAGAGTCAGGACTTCTGGTGAACTTCAAACTACTATTAAAATGAATAATAAGTAACACATGAGAATCATTTCTAGGTCTTACACTATTAAACAAACAGTCTTTCATGAAGCAAGAACTCAGATTTGTGAAATACAAGGATCATGATGTTAGACAAACGATGCTACAATGCTGAGTGTTGCACTCCTTTTTTGCCTTGCTAGTTTCTAGTCCTGCAAATGTCCTTTCAAATGCCCCTAGAGTGACCCACAACTACACTTTACCCAGAGCTGGAAAATAAGTCTTGCCCACCCAGCAGCATTTTCAAGGGTTAGACAGCACTGTTCTCAGGGGCTTGGCTGGTAGCATTTATTTTTAATGAGAGATCATTCTGAGGAGATGGTAGATTCCTGGAATAGTGGATCAAGCAATCCCTGTCATTTCCCCAGCAACACCGCCAACAAATTCAAAGGTGAACTGCCCAGATGCTTCCAATAATGTCCGTAGAGTGACCTTCTGACGTTGGCATCAAGTTTGACTTAGTGAAGGAACAGTGGGAGCGCTGATGCAAATTGTGACTGTATTCTAAAGAGTCATCAAGTAGGAAGCAGTCTTCAAGAAGTGAAAGTCAGCATATGCACAGGCCCCACTTTCAACCCCCAGCTCCAACAAAAGAGAAAGGAAATCCAAGTTCTCGTAAGTTTGTGCTCACAGATAAAGTAAGAGGAACCCCCGAATGTTAGTACGCAAATGCCGACTCCCCTTGCCTGTCCAAAAGTGTCCACAGTCTGACAGTCACAGGCTTTTTTCCGAAGTCTGTTCTGAATGGATCCAGGTCCCTGGTGCATGTTATGATCTAAGGGTTGCCTCACTGGTCCAACCTTTCCGTTTTTTTTTGTTTGTTTGTTTGTTTGTTTTTGTTTTTGTTTTTTGTTTTTTGTTTTTCGAGACAGGGTTTCTCTGTGCCTTTGGAGCCTGTCCTGGAACTAGCTCTGGTGATGGTGGCGCACGCCTTTAATCCCAGCACTCGGGAGGCAGAGGCAGGCGGATCTCTGTGAGTTCGAGACCAGCCTGGTCTACAGCCTTTCCGTTTTTAAAAAATTTGTTTTGATGTTTTTGCCATGGGTTCTGGATTCCCTCCAACTGGAGCTACAGATAGTTGTGAGCTTCCAGGTGGGTCCTGGGAACTTAACCCAGGTCCTTTGGAGGAGCAGTGAGTGTTCTTAACCACTGAGCCATCTTTCCAGCCCTGACCAGCCTTTAAGTATCTATAGATTGGCCTGAAAAAGACTTACAAGCCTGACAGTGATGAAATTTGGGGAAGTATGGAAAATGTATTACAAAGATATAGAGGAGGGGTGTGAACACCTTCCTAGTTTTCATTAGAAGGCTACAGCGTTCCGGAATTCTGTCAGGAAACTGAGAGTACCTACTGTCCCCGTGGTAACTATGGAAATTGCACAATTACCATAAGTCTTGATACAGGAGCTTGTGGTGCAGCCTGTGTAGATGTCAGTCTCACAGTCCTGTTGGATTCCTAAGTGAGTTCGTGCAATTTTAGAGAACCCAGTGTCTTTACTCATACTGCTCACCTAATCATCTGATAGCTACTTACCACACACCACATCTTTATTTACAACGTTTTAGGTTACATGTAAGCTGTAAGAATCTTACCTTGGTAAACCTTAGCCATTATTTTACCTACTGATCACCTGATTATGAAAAAAGACAAAAAATGTCTTGACTGTATTAATACCAGTGTGTACTTTGGGGCAAGGGCAGTTTGAAAGAAAACTTTCCTTAGTGCCCCGCTCCTTTAAGAACTCCACTGCAGGTAGTAATCCTTCCCTCTGAGATGCTCCCCCACAGCATCTACAGTGCTCCACAAGCAGCTGCCTCGGAGAACCAGGAGACAACATTTTCCCCCCTCATTGCACATTTTCTCCTCTGGATTCTGTTAATACAAACCCAAACTGGGGCTTTTTAAACTTCAGAAGTATTGACAAAAGGCTAGACAAGTGCACATAAAGACACTGATTAAGAAAAACTTCCATATTGGAATGGAGAATATAGAGCATTGGGTAATTTACAGTTTAGTGCTCAGTTAGAAAGTTACTGCTCCTTGGCAAGAGGATAAGTAAAGAGGATTTCATAGGAATATCAAAGGATCTATATGAAGAACTGTGATTTCTGGTGGGCAGAGATGACATGTATCCAGAAATTCTTATGTTCAATGTTTTAAAAAGGGACTACCATCACAGCATCAGAGCAAAAGACAAAATGACCAGAAATGGCAGTGGATACTCAACTCCAAGGGCTAGCTAAATTTAACTCCAAATTTTACCATTATCTCTATAAAATAAATTAGCAAAATTGAGCTAAATAATGCAGACAACCAAGCTCTCTGTTCCCTCTATTAAAGCAATTCCGTAATATATTTATAATACACCATAGTTGGACACCGGTTCTCTGATGCCACTTCCCAAAGAGCTTCCAAGTGCCTTCATCGCAAAAGGTCCTTGTTAAGAAAAACACTTCTATCAATTCAAGGTCCAAGCTATTTATCATGGCAACATTCCTAAGAATAGTAAGTCAAGGTAACTCCAAAGTAAAGGAAACAAGATAGCATTAATAATCACTTAAGTATACTTTTTGTTTAAGAAAGTATTCATCTCAAAGTTTCTTGAATTTTAGAGAGTTTTGTAATCATTTCGTGCACAGCAAAATCAGTGTCCAACACAAATGAGACACAATCTTTTGTTGTGTTATCAGCTGACTTGATCTAATTTAAGCATTCACACTTAATTGACTTACTCTTACAAAGTCTCAAGGGAAGGCAGCTCTAAGTCTGTTCATCATAAGCAACTAAAAATTACAAATAGAAATTTTGATTTTGCCTTAAATATCATTGGAAGCCTGGAATGTGTTGTAAAAGGTATAGATATTATTTTTTCACAAAATGTAGTGGGTGGTTTAAATTATATCCATATGTTGACAAGCCCTGCCTCAAATAAATATGTACTTACCTTGACAAAGAATTGCTGATTGTCTCCACACCTCAGAGAAGCAAGCTACACACAACTGATGCAGATCTTTTTAACCCAATAAGATTTTAGGAAGCAGAGGCAGTTTCTTTCAAATGCTGCTCAGTAGATAAAAGATGTTTGTCTGCTGTAAGCACTGCCTATTTTTAATCTTAACAGGCTCCATGTTGATCCCACATCATGTTTTTCACTTTCAGGGAAAATGACCATTATGGTTTCGGTTGAAATAAGTGATTATCTGATCTAAATGTGCCTCCAAAAGGCATCCAATGTGTGCTCCCTTCCATGATGCCCAGGCACACCCCGTAATGTGTTCACCATCAGTGGAAGCTGTTCCCTAAGACACCTCAGATGCCTGTGGATCATGCCAGTAACTACTGACAGCCACACCCACTCCCTTGCTTCCACAACTTCAACTCCGAAATGTAGAGAAAGATTCTACAGTGTTATAGGACGAAAGGTCACAGTATCTCCAGCCCTTCTCGTTTGCTTCTGCTATCCCAGAGTTTCCCAGCTTCTAGATGTGAGGGCATCGGTGTTCATCTCATATTGGTTAACAGTTCTCAGTTTTCTTTAGGGAGGCACAATCCCTGGGGTTACCAGGGGTTCTTGGTTCTGCTTTCAAACAGCATTGTAATTATTTCTACAAATAAAACTGTAAAAGAAAACCAGGCACTTCAACTCTGGAACTATTTCATTTTGGGTTGTTCCTTATTCTTGGCAGTATTTTTCTATTTTCAGTTGGGAAAGGACATTATGTTTTCAATAAACTACTGTGATTTCCCAGCCGTTGCTCTCTGAAGATTCATGCTGAGCTAGCCCGTTCATTTGGGTCTAAAATCAAACAGAGCATCCCATCAGTTACTGAGTAAAGCAGAAAGTACTGCAGTACTACAGATGTATAAATTTTTTTTAACAGAGCCAGCATCAATTTTAGTGGGAAATATATTTAAAAGGCAAGCTTGGGTTAAACCCCACACATAAGTGGGAACCTATCTCCATATAAGAGGACGTAACTTGAATTAACAAACTACAATTTGATAGTGGCATTTTGCAAGTTTGACCGACAGCCTCATCCTCCTCCAAAGAGTGAGGCAGAAGGAGAGGGGAAGAGAGAGAGCGCGATAGAAAAGGCCCAGGGCGGGACAGGGAGAGGGGGTCTCTACTTTCTCAGCAACACAGTTCAAGTGTAATTGTTCAAACTCACTTTCAGTGGTGAATTAGTCCTGAAGAAAAAGCTCCTTGCACTCAAGCAAGAAGCCACCTGACAATTGTTGGAATGACACACCTATTTCCCTCTAGCGCTCCACAGAGCTCCTGGAGGACCCTCAATTCTTCCTGTACTCATTACCCAAAAATGTCTCCTACATAATGTGCACACCTTACTCTTAAACTTCTGATTATTTACGCCGCAGTCCTGAGGCGCTGTGAACCGAAAAGAGAGTGACAAGTGGAAATTAAATATCCCAACCTGGCAATCAACACAGTATGCAAAGCGCCAGGTTGGAACTCTGCAACTTGGACTGGGGCGAGGGGGTGGGGGCGGTCACAGGCCTTTCTGGGCCCGACTAGTCAGTCTCCAGCGCAGGAGCCAATCGGCCAAAGGCCCAGCCGTTGCCATGGCTCCTCTGTGTGCAGGAGCCTCATTTATGTGTCGTGCGCCCGCCCCCAGGAGCCAATTGGTGGCCCTCTAAGGCGTTGCCATGGCCACACTGTCTGTTAGGGACGCAAATGCTCAGAGCCATGAGTCTGCACTAGGCTGCCTCAGCCTGGAGCTCATGAGGGACCCGGCTCTAGGCTCCAGATGACACTGAGACCTCATTATATGAACTCCCGCCATGAACCGAAAGAAGCTGCAGAAGTTGACGGACACCTTAACCAAAAGTTGCAAGCACTGTAAGTAAGAACCGAATGCTGGAGTACCCATGACTTCCGGGCCAGGTCTCTTTCCTACCTAGTGTCTCCTTCCTGCTTCCACCACAAGGTCCCCTGCACACTACTCCTCAAGTGAAATCTGGAAGAGAATCCCTCTCTGGGGCGTCAGCTCCTCATTCAGTCCCTGGATCTTTAGAACTAGATGGCAAGCATCTCGTGGATGCTGCCTGTGCTCCTGACACACTCGCTAAATTCAAAGACTCTCTTTATTTGCTTTTATGTTAAAGAAGTGAGATGCTGTGTGCTTGGGAGGCATGTGACTTTAGCTTTACAAGAGTTGAAAAAGTTCTAGAAAAACTCCAGAACAAGAAAGTAGCAGAGCCAATGTATAGCACCTTCACCTACTTTCTAGCTCACTCTAGAGCAAATGAACCTGTGAGGGCTAGGCTCTGGGAGTTACCAAGAGCTCCATAAGGTAACACAGTCATCCAGTCCTGGAAACCTTTCAGAAAGACACTTGAATCTCTCTCTAGCAATGTTCTGTTTGAAACCTGCATTGCGGAGCAAATTCAAGATAGTAAGGAATCTGTCCCCAGTTTCAGACACTCATTTCCAACAGCTAGTGGGGTCCAAAGGTGAAGGGAATCCTCCAAGGGGCCAGACACCAGAGCACTGTACTCAGGCTGAAAATCAGTATTGCTCTAGGCATAAGAAGCCATGTGTGGATGTGGTTGGGATGAGGGCACTGTTGCCTGGTGTGTGAACTTAGAAGCTGTGTGACGATTGAAAAGCTATTGGTCGCTTGAGGAAAACAGGAGAGGTCCGTCTAGTCAAACTATCTCTGCTGAACAAAGGTGTAGAAATGAACTCCTAATGGAGCCCCAAGAGGTCAACGCTAGACACAAATGTTTCTTTTACATCACTGGTGCCTGATATGATGTGTGAGAAATGATGCCACGGGGGGGGGGGTAGTACCAGAACTGAAAATTAAGATATACTGTTATACTATATTAAAAAAGTCTCAGAAAAAGGAATCCAGCCAGTCAGGGTGTTTATTAATTTGATAAAGATTGTATTCTTTTGTTGTTTTCCTGCACTGCTTTCATCTTTGGGAGAATAGCTGGTATTTCTAAAACGAGTGTGGACATTTCTGACGAATGCACATTAATACCTGGCACACACAGTGCTCAACTGATGGAGTCTGTTCAGTAAGTTCACAATGCTTCACTAGCAAACCCTGAAAGCTATTCAAAACTAAGCGGTTTTCCTTTTGTATTATATTCACAGTACTGAGGACTGAGCAAGCGATGCAAGCAATCTACCACTGAGCTAAACCCTAACCTCTGCAGTATAGATTTTAAATGATCAGTAAAACATGTCTGAAAAATAAAACTCTTGATTTTTGATTTTAAATAATTTTTTATATAAACCCTAAAAACTTTAGTTATTATTAGCGACAAGTAAGTGGTATGTTCAAACAGATACAGCTCATAGACATTGTGCTGATTTAAAATGTCTCTAAATCGCAGATGATGACACAGAGAATGAAGGACACATTGTGTTGAACCAGAGAAGAAGAAAGGGTTTTAGGTGGGCAGCTAGTTAATCCACCAGCTACAGATGAGAACTTCTCGGCCCGTGTAGCAGCCCTGAAAAGATGAACAGCCAAATGAGATTTCCCTAAACTGCATGTAATATGTGGAGAATTCAGGGGGCAGGAAGGTAATAAGGGGGAAAGGAAGGGAGAAAAGATAATTACTACTAAGAATGTTTGAAAAAGTTACAGGAAAACATTGTCTTATGAACACACTTTAACTGTTCAATGAATATATGTATACCTATATATGTACACACACAAGCACACATGAGTTATGGTATATACGGTAAGGGTGCTTCCCCACCCCAAAGAGCCATGCACTATCTATCACAAAATTCAGTGGCAGGGATGGGAAACCTCCCCTCAAGTTCTTAGTCAGGGGGATATGCGAGATTCCCATGACAGAATGGAATATAGCCTTTGCCTTTAAGTGCCTTCTAGAACTTGATCATGAGATTCTATTGCGGAAGACACCACACACTCAGGCACAGAATTTGTAGAAATTGAGATGGAGTTGACCTGGAAGCTTCCTCGCTGAGGACTAGCTCTTAAGATATCTTTTTTTTTTTATTTTTTAAATTTATTTATTTATTTATTTATTAAA